AATTGAGTTAAAGTTACTCAAGTAATGAAAAAGAAAATGAAAGGATTAAGTAAGTGAGGATTGAGCACTGCTGATGAAAACTTGCTGTTAACAAGCAGAAACAACGAAGAGAAATGCGAAACTACATCTGACTTCAGTCACAGCCTTAGACGAAATAAGCGAAAAAAGAATACATTGAACTTCTCAAAATCTCAGCAGAGGATCATTATCAACTCCACAAACAGCAGCCTTGCTTATTACCAACCTGTTTGCCCTTATTTAAAGAGGGACCAAATACTCTCTGAACTGAGTAAATTTTACTCAAAGGATTTTGCTGTGTTTGTCTTAATCATTGTATGATACTTTATGCGAGGACCAGATCAAAATGATTGGCTTTAAATCAAATTTACAGTAACGCTTTATGTTTTGTTAAAAAACATTTATTATTATAATAAAAAATCTGTGTAATAATTAATTTAAAAAAAGCTTAAATTTACTGAAGAAAACTGGTCATTTTAGGCTGTTCCTCACAACAAAATCATACTTAACTAAATAAAAAAATTTAAATTAATAAATCAATTAATTAAACAACTTATGATTTTACATTTTAGGCTGTTAATCAAACAACAACATAATACTCAATAAAATAATAAAATAAAAATAAAATACTTTGTTTAAGCTATAAAATAAACAAAACCAATATCCAAGTTAAAATAAATCAAACAAATTATACATGGTGTTAGTCACAGATATTATATATTCTAAAAGACATAACCACAACATTGTTTAATCATTTACATGTATATATATATATATATATATATATATATATATATATATATATATATATATATATATATATATATATATATATATATATATGTGTGTGTGTGTGTGTGTGTGTGTGTGTAATTTTTTACAGTGTTGTCCTATTTTCTACACTGGGCAATTTTGTCACCATAAATAAATGTGCAGTACATTGACCTATATATTAACTATATTTTAATTAGCCTATATGTAGGTAAGTAAGCACACACGGAATCTGCACATGCAGAAATCTGCAGATTTTTAGCCCATCATTGAGTCTATTTATTTAGTTGTCTGTAAATGTGTATACATTTATATTTATTCAGTTTTTAACTTAATTTCAGTAATATTGCTGACTAATATGAAAACGTCCATATGATTTCCTAACAATATAGTTCTATATTAACTATAGTTATATATAGCTTTTAGCAGATATATGGTAGAGATGTGAGAAACATGTTTTGTTTGCCAAATAAATAGATCTAATAGGATTTGCATTGTAAACATTAAATAAAAGTAAAAAATGTATTACGTCTTCTTTAACATATTAAGTTTTTTAGTTACGATACTCCCAAAATCAGTCTGCATAAATCTGCAAATTTTTCACAATATTCTGTGCAGAAATAGCAAAAAATGTCTTCAGATTCTGTCTGGTCATACGTATACGTGATGTCTTAATTATGTAATATATATGTTTAAATAAATCAATCAAGAAAATCAATATGTAAATAATTATATTTCTAAGGTGCGTACCAAATTCCAAATAGCATTCAGATGCACTGTTACACTCCGTTAATAAGAAACATGAGCAACCGAACAAATTTCAATGTAAATAATCCAGAAAAACTGTTTGTATTTTAATTGTAAACCATAATCTTCATTTAATTTCTTTTCAAACATGGTTTAAACGTCATTGCGATGTGTCCATTTTTTCCCCTCATTTATAACAACACAACAATTATTTTAGTTTCATACTGAGTCAAAGCCGATTTATTATTATGTTTGTGTTTACAGGACACAATTGTATACAACCGACTCATTATTTTATGTAGACATATTCATGAATTATAATGACTTCATATGTATTTATATATAAACATCAAGAATCCACATCATATACAGGGTTGTATATATATATATTAAATCAAACCAGTTTTGACAAAACTCTCAGATGACAAAAAAAGTTAAGAAAAAACATACAGAGTTTGAAGAATAAAACATTTCAGACACACGTAAAAATCCACTATATATATATTTATACAGTTGAAGTCAGAATTATTAACCCCCCTGAATTATTTTTCCCCCAATTTCTATTTAATGGAGAGACACATTTTCTAAACATATTAGTTTTAATAACTCGTTTCTAATAACTGATTTATTTTATATTTGCCATGATGACAGTAAATAATATTTTACAAAATATTTCTTCAAGACACTTTTATACAGCTTAAAGTGACATTAAAAGGCTTAACTACGTTAATTAGGTTAACTAGGCAGGTTAGGGTTATTAGGCAAGTTATTGTATAACCTTGGGTTGTTCTGTAGACAATAAATAAATAAATAAATAAATAAATAAATAAATAAATAAATAAATAAATAAATAAATAAATAAATACATACATACAGCCTAAAGGGGCTATTAATTTTAATTTTAAAATTGTGTTAAAAAAATCTAAAACTGCTTTTATTCTAGCCGAAATAAAACAAATAAGACTTTCTCCAGAAGAAAAAATATTATCAGACATACTGTGAAAATTTCCTTGCTCTGTTAAACATAATTTGGGAAACATTTAAAAAAGAAAAAAAATCAAAGGGGGGCTAATAATTCTGACTTCAACAGTATGTGTGTATTGAAATGCATAAGAAGAGTATACATATACATATATTTACAAACCTTTTTTGCATTTTCTTTTTAATATTTTTTCACTCTAACCACAATTTTTTTGCTTAATTAGCAGGTAAACACAGCGGTCTGAATGAGTCAAGACCAGAAGACTTCATAGATGTGAGTAATATTCATATTAATCCTTGTGCTGATATGTTGATATTATGAGTTGCAGATTGATTATACTAAAAAGTTCATATGACACATGTAATCAACAATAAAATAATAACAATTAGCAAACACATAATCGTATGTGTTCATAGCTTAAACAGGTCTGCTGGTTCTTTGTACATTGAGTCAACACAGTGCATATAAACCACAACATCACATCTTCCTCATCTACAGAGGCTCTTTCTGCATGAACTTCGCCATCAGCAGCATTAAAAGGTCAAAACAGAAGAAAATACATAGAGCATATGTCTGTTAGAGACTGACATAGACTGTAATTCAGTGCAAAAACATTGTATACTGGATGCTTTTACACTTTAATGCAATTTTCCCTTGGAAAATGTACTTTTTTTGCTTTGCACGTGCACTAAAGTGTTTCTCTTTTGTTAAATTCTGAAAAATAAAAAAAGGTTTTAAATAATAAAAGCAAAATATAACAAGAGCTCTCTCAAAATAAGCAAAGCAAATGACTGAATATCATAAAAACCAAAAAATTTTATGTAAACACCAAACTTATGAGTAATACCAACACAATCTCATGGCAATTCGTAACTTTTTGATTTAGTGGCTAATTCGTATGAATTCGTACGATCTAATTCGTACACTTTAGTACGACTTGCTCATCCACCAAATGACGGTTGGGTTTAGGGGTGGGGTCAGGTGCCACGCCTCCTTTTTAAAATCGTACAATTTCGTACGACTGAACTCATACGAATTCGTACGAATTAGCCACTAAACTGGCAAAACGTAAAATACTTACGTTTTCTCGTGAGATCAGGCTGGTAATACTGTAATTTATACTTTGCACTCACACTTATAATGAAAGTGACTGACTCTAAATATAAAAGCAGAATTTAAATCTGATTATCTCAATTTCTGCTGACATGTTTGTGTGTAAACAGTGCTAACTTTTAAACATTTAAACTTTTTTAATTACTATTTTTTTGTCTTGTTTCTTTAAAAACACCAAGAAACATTCTTAAATCATTTACTTGAGAAGCAAACAGATATAACATATTAGGAAAAAAGTAACCAAATGATTACAATTATATTTATTTTTGTTTTAAACTAATTTGCGCAATATTTGATGTATCATGCGATTTCTATTCTTAAGTAAATGTGTGTTAGGAATGTTGAAATGTTTGTAAAACAAGACAAAACCGTTTTATTATTTCTGAAGTCTACAAATATTAAAGGCCCTTTCACAATGTGCATCGATCAAATGTTGTATCACAGCATTCAAATTTACTGTAAGTTTCAACTTTGACCTTGTAAAGAAAGTATGGAGCTTAAAATATGCCAAAACAATCTGAAATGATTTTTGTTCATTTTAATTATTAACCATTGTAGTTTAATAAAACTCAATATTATATGCTATCAGACTTTTTTTTTTAAATGTCCTAATTTAAATTTCTTAACTTATTGTTAATGTTAGGTTATTTCGTAACATTGAACATCTGAAATTTAACACAACATCTTTTTTAAGGCAGATTTTTAAGACATTTTTGAACTTTCAAAAAAGTTTTCATTCTGAATTCCTCGTAAACTGAATACCCACTTTGTAAAAATACAGTTTCAAGTTTTCAAGATAAAGAAGTTGAAACTGTAATTTTACAAACTGGATATCTGCAGTCTAAAAATTTAGAAAAAAAATAATAATAATAAAAAGTTTGAAAATATATCTATAAAAATCTGCCTTGAAAAAAATAAGTTGGCTTATAAGTCAGATGTTCAATATCCAACTTAAGAAATTCAATATCAGATGAAATTTATAATTTTTTTTAATTACATATAATATTCAGTTTTATTAAATAACAATTTGTCACCTTGGAACTATAAGGTTCTATCCGCGTTCTGAATCATTTTGAGATATTGAGCTTCAAAGTTTTGGCATTCCATATAACAAACAGTATGTGTGAAACACTTTTTTAAAATAATAAGTCCTAAAATGTAAGAAACGTATATATATATATATATATATATATATATATATATATATATATATATATATATATATATATATATATATATATATATAAATCCAACAATGTAAATAAGTTGTTATTTAATAAGATTAAGTCAATAACTCAATTTTAACAAAAAATGTCAGAACCTTATAATTCAAAACTGACAAATTGTTAATAATTAAAATCAACAAAAATTCAAATTTAGATTGTTTTGGCATATTGTAAGCCCCATATAAAGCCCTAATTGAAAGAATCAAGTCACATCATTTACAGCTCATGAAAGTTATATTACTGGAAGCATAAGAGCTGAATTCAGTCTAAAGCATCAACATTTGAACTCAGGACTGCCGTCTTGAGAGTTTCCACCTTCATTCTTAAAAATGTCACACCACTTGAGCGCGTTTTGCATTTAAATCGATGAGGCAGAGACACTTGCTCTGATCTCATTCACATTTAATTATTAATTCACTGAGATTGAAGGTCTGGAGTAAAACAGTAACCTTTTCATGACATCTGATGAAGACAAGAGGCAGCTGCTCTCCCTGCATCTCATTTAATCCTTTTTATACCTTCCAAAGATTTAAGACAAGACACTACAGATGAACAAAGTTTAGAAATGTTGAAATGTATCACAATTAAAGTTTAAATTAAGATTTACGTTTTTTTGAATGTTTCGATGTGATATCTAAATAAATATTATGTTATTTTCTAAAATACTCCAAATGTTTTAACTGGAAACTGGATAAAAACACTAATTTTGCTGAAAAGTTTTTACTGCAGGGGGGTTGGATATCTCTTTGTAACATAAATTTACAGTCTTTAATTAAAAATACTTTAAGCAGTCAGAAAATATATATTTTTAAGTGTTTTTAGGGATAAAATGTTATAGAATTTAGACAAAATGATATATCCACAAACCTTACAGTAAAACCTTCAAAATATAGCTATTAATAAAACTATTTAACTTAGTACATGTAAGTGCTGCTAAAGTAGAAAACTTTTTTTTTAAAGATATTCTGATAGATTCTGATCCACAAACACTGGATAGAGCCAGATTTAAACATTATTGTTTCATTTTGCTGACATTTTAGACATAAAAGTTTTTTTTTTAAATGCTAAAAGGACTTTGAATATCTTTTTTATTACTCCTTTAATCAGAAATTATTGTCCGAAATCAGAAAAATACAGTTTTACCTCTTTAGGGATTAAATGCTACAGAAATCAGACAAAATGATGACTCAACACACCCCAGTAAAAGCCTTCAGAATATAGATTATAGATATGCATACAAATATTAACTTTAGTGCATGTGTGTGTTGCTAAAAATAAACTCAACCTTGAAATAACTTACTTCAAAGATAAGTGCGGTAATTGAAATGCATTGTTATATAAATCTGACAAAAAATTTAATTTCAACAAACCCCACAGTAAAAACCTTCAGAATATGGATATGAATAAAACTATTAAGTTTTTAGTGCATGTAAGTGCTGCTGAAGAAATAAATATATATTTTCGAGAAAACAGCTTTTAAAGATACATGTGATAAATGTGTGGTAATTAAAATTTAAAGTTATATAAATCAGACAAACAATGCAATTTAAACAAACCACACAGTAAAAACCTTCAGAATGTAGATATTAATAAAGCTATTAAATTTAGTGTATGAGAAGTGTTGCTGAAGTAAAAAACAAAAACAAACAAAAAAAAACTAAACTTGAGAAAACTTACTTTAAAGATGTGTGGTAATTCAAATGTAAAGCTATATAAATGAGACAACTAATGAAAATGGAACAAACCCCACAGTAAAAACTTTCAGAATATAGATATGAATACAATTATTAGGTTTAGCTTTTGAAAGTGTTGTTGGAGTAAAAAAAAAAAAAAAAGTGAGACGACCGAATTTAAGGAAATTTGTGGTTTTTGAAATTCATATATAAATGAGACAAACAATGAAATCTGAACAAACCCCACAGTAAACACCTTCAGAATACAGATATAAACAAAACTATTAAGTTTACTACATGTAAATGTTGTTGAAGTGAAAAAAAGAGAAAATTTGAGAAAACATCCTTTAAAGATATGCATGGTAATTAAAGCGAAGGTTATATAAATCAGGCAAAAAATTAAATTTGAACAAACCCCACAGTAAAAACTTTAAGAATATAGATATGAATACAGGTATTAAGTTTAGCTTCTGAAACTGTTGTTGAAGTAGATAAAAAAAATTGTGAGGTAACTGAATTTAAAGAAATTTGCAAATTTGAAATTCAAAGTTATGTAAATTACGCAAAAATTAAACATGAACAAACCCCACAGCAAAAGCCTTCAGATTAAAGACTGCAATAAAACATGTTACATTTGGTTTGTGTAAGTGCTGCTGAATTCAAGGGGAAAAAAACAAGATATATCTTTAACAAAATACTGAGTATTCCTCAATTCTCTTTTCACTAGTCTAGAAGTAGACAAGCTAAAGCAAAACTGACAAGTACGTGAAAAAAAATCTGTGGTGTCTTGCCCTAAATCGAAGTATTTCTCTTTGTTCCAGTGTATCAAATCCAACTAAACCTTGTCTTCGTAAATATTTTCATAAATCTATTTACGTATCAGTGTATCTGCTTAAATCCACCATATCTTCTTTAAAATGTTGTCTTTTTTAGTTATTTCAGCATTTTTTAAATATTTCTCAGCATAACCTTTTTAATCTTCATAAATCGTGAAGAGATAGTTCACCCAAAAAATGACCTCTTCATTTACTCTCCCTCGTGTGGTTTAAAACCTTTATGAGTTGAACACAAAATAAAATATTGTGATAAATTATGTTTGCTGGGGCCCATTGACATCTATAGGTGTCAATGGGTCCAAGCAACCAGCATTTTTCTAAATATCTGTTTGTGTTCAAGAGAAGAGACTCAAGCAGGTTTTGAAGTGAAAGGTGAGTAAATAATGACACAATAATCACATTTTTGGTTGAATTATCCCTTTAAGTCTTTAGTGTTAATCTATAAAACTACATTATTCCCTATAGTGAAACTGCAATATATTAATAAATTGTTCACACACATGCTATCAGCACTAGTTATCATGAGTTAAACCTGTCCACAGCATGAGTTAATTTGAGTTAAACCTGTCCTCTGTGCAAAGAGGTAAGTTAGTGCAAATGTGAGAGGGCCGAAATCCTCTCAAATCTGGAACATCATGCATAGAAACCCTTCAAATAAAAGCCCAACAACAAAAACACCTGCTTATTTACACAAGAACCAAACTACAGTAAAAAAAAAAAAAGATTTTCTTAGTATAAATGTCTAAATATTTTTAAATTAAAATACATTTACTCGAGAAGCAAAATGACTGAAAAAGACATGAGAAATAAATGCCAATGCAGTTAAAAGTAGTCTTTTTTTCTTCAAATTAAGATGTTTTATATAACATATAACAAACTATTTGAATTTTGATATGTTCAACAGAAAAAAAAATTCCTTATATTCTGTCTTTTTGCTTCTATATTTCATTTTTTTTCTAGATATCTGTAATGAAAAACAAACCAAAAAATAAGTAATACATAGAATCATTTTTGCACTGTTTCAGAGACTAGTAGACTAGAGTACTGTATGCTGGCGATACCTGGTGAGATCCTGTGGATCTGAAGATTTGCTGAGACGGTTGTGTATTTAGTGAAAAGTTGAAAAGTGTCCTGAGTTTTTTTTTCTTTTTGTCTCATGTCTAAAATCACACTAGCAGCTTTATATACATGATAAACCTGACAACATTGATCAATAATGAAACACAGAATCAAGCCAAACTTCCAACCGCTTCCATTTCCCTGGCATTTTGCAGACAAAACAAAAGCATTTCCAGTTTCTGAACTCAAGTCAAAAAAGTAAATCCACATTTTATGAGCTGCTCCTCTGATTTTTTTTTTTCTCCTCAAGGATTTCTGCAACCTCCACTTGAGAGTCGGGCTTGAGAGATGAGGTCATCGGCTGACCTGGAAGCATTTTATTTCGAAATGTTCTAGTGGTTTTGTGTGTTACGTGTGTACATATATATAGTCTCTCTAGTAGGGCGTGAAGCGGCTGCAGCCTCCTCTGTACAGACTCGCCTGCAACATCAAAGATGACAGAGCACCAGTCAGAGTCAACGACGCAACTCTAGCTTCCCAAATTTCCTTCCTTAAGAATTCCGCCAGTGACTTCAAAAGATTCCGCACATGACAAAGGGTGTTTTAAATTATGGGCTGTACTACTGTTTTGGACAACTTTAACTTCAATAGCTGAAACTAGTCATTTTAAATAATCAGATTGTGCTACAAATAATCAATGTCCATACTGAAAACTAGTGTTGGGCACGTTACTTAGTAGAAAGTATTTAGGTATTAGTAGGACCACATAGAATCTGTGGATATTTTTTTGCTATTTTTGCGGAGAATTTTGTAAAAAAAAATTATGCAGATTTATGCGGAATGACTTTAGGAGTGTCATAACTAAAAACTTAATATATAAAATCAACAAATAATACATGTTTAACTTTAATGTTTACAATTAAAATCCAATTAGATACACTTATTTGGTAAACAAAGCAAGTCTCACATAATATCTCTACTAAAAGACAGAAAATATTACTTTACAAACTGTAATATAAATAAATCACGTAAAAATTTTATTATTGTTATTGTTATTATTATTATTATTATTATTATTATTATATCACAATAATATTAGTGAAGTCTATTTAAAAACTGAATACATATAAATTTACACAAGTAAATACATAGACTTTATGATGAGCTAAAAATCTGCAGAAATCGTGCAGATTCCTTGTATTAGTTACTAGTTACTTTCACAAATAGTAACTGAGTTAGTAACTGAATTACATCAACATAAAAGGTACTTTTAAAAGAAAAAATGAGTATAAAAATAAACGTTGAGTGAAATGGACACTAAATTAAATGAATTATTATTTTAAAAATTCTATACACTATTCTCAACCCAAGCTCATTCTGAAAACGTGGTCCCTGCAGACGTTTCTGAAGATCGCAATTTTTGGCTGGAGGTACGTATGGCTACATTTCATTTTTTTTAAGTGTACGCTACGGGACGGTGTGACGCCGCTCCTCTTCGCGCTCGCCGGCTGACAGCTTAACTTCGTGTGGAAGGCTTTCTCGCCGCAACCAGTTTGTCCGGTTAGCTTGTCGTGTACGTCGGCGGAGTGGAAAGCCGACGGCGACGACCGGGTTTGAATCAGGGAAAGACAGTACCAGAAATTCGGTAAGACAAAATCCAAAAAATAAAGTGAACGAGTTCATAACAAGGCGAGAATGTGGTGAAATCCAAAAACTACTTTTTTTGGACAGCTTTTGTAAATCATTCCTTGGGTTTAAGAAAGCAAGCGGGCAGGCGGGCGGGCAGCCGGGTCAATTGGTAAAACCGGTAGGGTTTAGGGAAGGAGGAGGAGGAGGGTGGGTCGGCCGATTGGCTGGTCGCCTAATCAATCATTCAGTCAGTCGGACAGACGGTCAGTCGGACAGACGGTCATTCGACAGCGGCCTCCAGCGGCTTTATGTGTGAACAGCCCGCGAGAGGCGTTCGAGATGCAAAAAAGCGCACACAGACGCCTCTCAAGGATTTGTGAAAACAAAAACTGCACAAATATGTACCTCCCGGGATGTATTTCGTGGTCTCCAGTAACGTCCGCAGGACTACGTTGCCAGAATGAGCCTGGGTTGGCTATTCTTGTCATACACACAACCTGTCATAAATCTGTCATAAACATGACTGTCGTGAGGCCATTATGATTGATATAACACAATCATTACTATTACCCTTGACCTCAGCTTCAGTGGTACAAAGTAAATTTGTCGTTACATGTTAATCAATATTAATGATGCAGTTAGACACTTTAAATCTCAGGTGTCAAACTCAGTTCCAAAAGAGCCGCAGCTCTGCACAGTTTAGTTCCAACAATTATTAAACACACCTGATCAAACTAATTGAGTCCTTCAGGCTTGTTTGAAACCTACAGGTAAGTGTGTTGGAGCAGGGTTGGAACTAAACTGTGCAGGGCTTCGGCCCTCCAGGAATTGAGTTTGACACCCCTGCTTTAAATGATCAAATTTGATGACAAATTTAGTTGTTCCATTGTACAAAGAGATCAGAAAAATATTCATCAGACATTTATAATGGCCTAATGATTGTTATGTTTATGACAGATTTATGACAAGTGATTAAACAATGCCATCTTAGCTGAGTGAATGACGCTATTATGAAGGTGTCATGGAAGACTTACCAAAAAAGAAAAAAAGTCAATGTTGCAAGGCCTGGGGGCGAGCAAATGAACAGTAAACTTTCATTTTTGAGTGAACTCTCCCTTTAACTGTGTGTGTGTGTGTGTGTGTGTGTGTGTGTGTGTGTCAGTGTTCTCTATGCAGAAGGAATCTCAAATCTCTGAGAATTCAGTTCTCTTAAAAACTTCAGTCTAATAATGGTGAGATCAATGGGTCGTGCTTCTCATGCAATCCTGTGTCTCCCCCTTCTCCCCCCCTTTCTTGATATCTCATTACACAGTCGCTAACTAGCAACCCTCCATCTGTGCTCATTGTGCAGAAATGGCTTCGGCCGCCTTTGAAAACATTATGGACCTCAGACTACCATGCGTCAAATTAACGCCGCTGGTGTTCAAAGACCCGTACAATTATTCTCTTTAAAGTTTGAGCGCGCAGAAGAGCGAGGGCCTTCCAAAAGCGAAACTGGACCGTACGTGTAATTTACTGCAGAAAGCCAGACCTTCAAAGGATAATTCTGGCTAATTTAAGGGGGGAAACCCGCGCCTGGTTTTGGGTGCAGAACTTCTGCAGCTTCATGACGCGGAGAAAAACCGGCAAAGAGAATTTAATGCAACCTCAGAGGAACTCATTATTAAAGGAATTTTAAAAGCTCTCCCATCTCGAGTCCACACATTAATCAGTTATGATGAAAGAGGGGGGAAAAAAGCAAAGAGCTCTTTCTCTGACAGATGAGGGATCAGTTGATTGCTCTGTAAAATCTGAGTTTCTCAGGTTCTTTTGCATCCACACACACACACATGTTGAGTCTGTTCCAAAACCTGTGAGTTCCCTACCTAGGCAGCTTCTAATGTATACTATATAAAGTCGTGGCATATATGTTAGCATGTTGCATTGAGACTAGGGATGGGAAGATTAATCGATATGTATCGATACGCGGTCATGCGCGTGCACGATGCGAGTGCATCGGTTGAGCAGCAGAGGATGAATGAAATTTTGGAAGCAAATCGAGATGCATCGGTTTTTGCGAGATGCATCGGTTTTTCCGAGATACAGCTTATTTTTTTAATATAGTATGTATTTTTTATTTATTAACAAGTGTTGTCAACCTGTTTTTGGCGCATAATTTAATCGACCTACATAAAGTAAGCCTTAGCAACGGATTTGCGGATGTGTACACTTACACTACAACTGTATCAGGTGTGCGGATGAAGCTAGTGGTGCGCCCTCAGAAAGCGCGAGAAGCAAAACAAACATTTTATTCCCCACTGAGTTTTAAATCTAAAGTATGGCAACATTATGGATTTAAGGATGGACGACATGACAGGACAGATGCAATTTGCAAAATGTGCCGCGCATCTATAAAATACGCGGGCAGTACGAGTAATCTGAAATCTCACTTAAAGCGGCGCCACGGTGTTGTTGTGAAAGCATCTTCCAGTGTTCCTACATCCCCGGCTTTCGCACTGCTTCAACTGTAGCTACCAGCTCCAAAAGTGGTGAGAAAAGCATTGCAAGTTTTTTTTTTTCATGCGCAAAAGTTTTGTGCGCTCTATGCCAATAACGGATGTTATTGCATTGTTCATCTGCAGGGCCGGAGCAAGCTGAACTGCTGCTCTAGGCAGAGGACGATCACGCCGCCCTCAACCCCAATGTGAAAACGAAAGTGACCGGTTATGAAAATGAAGTGACGTGTCGCGGACCTCTATTCTGCCGCCTTATGCGCGGATATAACTGAGGACGCGCGGGTGTCGCGGACCTCTATTCTGCTGCCTTATGCGCGGATATAACTGAGGATGCGCGGGTGTCGCGGACCTCTATTCTGCCGCCCTATGCGCGGATATAACTGAGGACGCGCGGGTGTCGCGGACCTCTATTCTGCCGCCCTATGCGCGGATATAACTGAGGACGCGCGGGTGTCGCGGACCTCTATTCTGCCACCATATGGGCGGATATAACTGGGTGTTGCGGACGCCGCCCTCTCTATACTGCTGCACTAGGCAGTTTTAAACACCTCCTCCTGTTAATTTTTATTTAATTATAATAATAATAATGATAAAAATAATGGGTGTCACGGTGGCACAGTGGGTAGTTTGACCACCTCACAGCAAGAAGATTGCTGGTTTGTTATATTTTTATTAGCCTGTTGTTTACAGTGACAGTGATGTTTCAACACAGCTTAACACTGCTAGTTCACAACCTTAAGTTTTGAATAATCAGTGGCAAAATATATCTTTGTAAAATTTGTTTACATAGTTAAAGTTAAATCACAATTCTTGTTGTGCAATGGTAAACCTTTATGTTGAAAGAGTGCAAATATATATATTTCAATATATATTGCACTTATACATTCTGTTTATCTTGAAAATACTTAAATAATATGTGCTATATGTTCTAAAATGGCCCTCTACTGTAAACTGACACTCTGGCTCTAAGAGAAAAGCCAGTTTGTAAAAAAAGTCTTGGTTTTGCTTGGTTAATAAATAATCAAACTCATTCAATGGCACAGCATCCTCTTTCACATCATCTCATAAACTTGATCTAATTAGTGCTGAAATATCGCATCGTATCGTGATATGGGTGTGAATCGTATCGTGTTGCATCGCAATATGTCATAAATGTATCGCTAATATATCGGATCGTATTCTTTGTATCGAGATGCGTATCGGATCGGCATTATAGCTTAGATGCCCAACCCTAATTGAGACTCCTATCAGGCGATAAAAAAATATCGCTGTTAATATATTCTCAAAGTTGGGTTGGGAGCTGGGTCTATTTTATGCAAGCTATGATGAGTTTCACCTTAATATTTTAGCGCGGAT